GGATATATAATTCTTGGCTGGCAGTTGTTTTCCTTCAAGGCTTTATATATGTCATCCCATTGCCTTCTTGCCTGCATGGTTTCTGCTGAGTAGTCCGAGCTTATTCTAATTGACTCTCCTTTGTAGATGACATTTCTTTTATCCCTAGACACTCTTAAAATTCTCTCTTTATCTTTGGTTTGGGTAAGTTTGATTATAATATGTCTTGGTGACTTTCTTTTGGCATCTACCTTATGTGGGGTTCGATGAGCATCTTGGATAGATATCTTCTCATCTTTCATGATATCAGGGAAGTTTTCTGTCAACAAATCTTCAACAATTTTCTCTATACTTTCTGTTATCCCCCCGTTCTGGTATTCCAATCACTCGTAGGTTATTTCTCTTGATACAGTCCCACATGACTCTTAGAGTTTCTTCATTCTTTTTAATTCTTTAATCTGATTTTTCCTCAAACAAGTTGGCATGAAGTGCTTTATCTTCAATGTCACTAATTCTAACTTCTACTGCCTCAATTCTGCTCCTATGACTTTCTGTTGAGTTGTCTAATTCTGAAATTTTATTGTTAATCTTCTGGATTTCTGATTACTGTCTATGGATTCTTGCAGCCTATTAAATTTGTCATTATGTTCTTGAATAACTTTTTTAAGTTCCGCTACTACTTTGTATGGTCCTTGGAAGTTTCTGCATTTTGTCAAATTTCCATTCTAATTTCTAGAAGATTTCTGTATATTAATCTTTTGTATTCTGCCTCTGGTAATTCCAAAAAAATCTCTTCCTCCAGAGAATTTATTGATTCTTTATTTTGGGAGCTTGCTGAAGCCATCATGGACTGCCTGTTTATGTGATTTGATATTGACTGTTGTCTCCAACCCATCAATAAGTTATTATAATTTTATTTTATATTTGTTTAGTGAGTCCTAGCTTCTTGTTTTGTTTTGTTTTGATATGCCCCAATAGGCTGCTCCTGTGTGCTAGTTGGATTATTGGCGCCTTTGAAGCTCTAATGTCCTGTCACCAGGTAGTTAGTTCTGTAACTATGTGCACACAGGAGTCCATTAAATTTTCCTATATGGGTTCAGCTCAGGTGTCCAGGCAGTCGGTCACCAAGTGTGTGATGCAGGCTCTCACCCCCAGTCCTAGAGAGGCATGGGTGATTGGTGCAGGCCCTGGACTCGCTGTGGTAGGGGATCACGCACTGAGCCAGGCAGGGGGCTGACAGCTGCCCCTGAGAGTCTGAAAGCGTGTCCCTATTCTCTAGGGTGAGTAGGTAGGTGAGTTTTGCAGCCGGACCATGAGCACCCCACTCTGTTGCCTGTAAAGGCTCGAGGGCACTACTTTTTCTTCAACTCCTGTAGCAGTTGACTGGGTGGCGTAGGTGATGCCACCGGTCCTCAAGCCCCTGGTGCAGATTGGTAAAGGTGCCTGCTTAAGGGGCAGGGCTGTGTCGAGGCTCACAAATCTGCCACTTCACAGCTGAAACAGTTGAAGTTAAACTTCAGATGTTTACCCTGTTGTACTGTGGTAGTGAGGGCTAACGCTGTTGAGATGGGTCCCCAGAAGTCTATACAGGGGTGTAAGGCACTCAGAGTCTGTGGACCCTTTATGCCTGTGCCTAGCAAAGGAGCTGTGCTGACCCTGTGTTCCTAGCTTACGGGAGCCAGTAGCTTATTTGTTCCCTCTCCACAGCCAGGAGAATGGGTCAGGGTGACTTTGGGGATCTACTTCCGGCCCAGCAGACTCAGGGTGCAGAGTGGGGAGGGAGGAGGTAAAAGCGAGAGAGGTTTTCCCAAATGGGCTTTTTTTTTTTAAATCCCCGCGAAATGCCGCACGCATGTACTTATCTTTAGCCACTTGGGAGCTGCTTTTTGCTGGTTCGGAGTGTCCAAGCAGAATCTCTGCCGCTGGATCTCTCTCGATGTGGAAAATGCCTCCAGAGCTGCGTGCAGCTGTTTGCCTGCTTCACTGTGTACCTCGGAGCCAGTCGGGGCTGAAGAGCTGCTGCTGCAGCTGCAGTCCAGCACTTCTCACTTCTTCAGAACCGTCTCCCTCTCCCCCCGCCACTCAGTCCGATTCCTCTACTTTGCCTTGTTCAGGGCTCCTAGATATTCATATACAATCAAATCACTTGTTTTTCCAGGTCTTTGTTGTAAGAGGGATATAGGAAGCCATCTGACTACTCCACCATCTTGGCCCCACCTCAATGTCAACTTCTTAATGAAAACTTTCTGCTCTAACTGGATGAGATATCCCTTCCAAATCCCTATTGCTCTTTGTATTTTGTTGTACTAAATAGTCTTCATTGTATTATAGTTCCTAACAAGTCATAAAAAACTGTTTGAGGGCAGGGGTGTTTTAGTCAATTTAGAGCTAGTAGAGTATTATAAAGGATAGACAGCATGGGGAAAGATTATGAAAGATGTTGAAAGCCAGGCAAAGGAATTTAAACTTTATCTTAGGCAACAGACAACCATTTGCGAGCAGGGGGCAAATGGTTTAGGAAGATTAGCTTGATAATCTGTGTGTTGTATAGGAGCCCTGGTGACTGCTAAATTTTAAGATAATTTGATACACAATAATAGATACCTATACGATACTATACCCCAATTAAAGAGTTGGTAGTAGGCATTATTTTTGTTAAGCTAAGCTAGTCCTTGGGTAGTGCAATCAGTAAGCACTTGGCTGCCAACCAATGTTGGAAGTTTGAGTCCACCCAGAGGCACATCAGAAGAAAGGCCTGGTGATTTACTTATGAAAAATCAGCCGTTGAAAACCCTGTGGAGCACAGTTCTACTCTGACACAAACGGGGTCTCCATGACAGCAACTGGTACTGGTAAAATACAAACCAGATTTCCAAGACTTAAATACCAACAAAGGAATACAAAACACCTCATAAATTCTTTTAAATTGATTACATGTTGAAACAGTATTTTGCATGTTATTAGTTGCTGTCGAGTGGGCGTAACAATGAAATGTTGCCTGGTCCTGTGCCATCTTCACCACTGTTGGCATGTTTCAGTCCACTGTTTCAGCTGTTGTGTCAATCCATCTCATTTAGGGTTTCCCTCGTTTTCACTGTCCCTCTACTAACCATGATGTCCTATTGTAGCAATTGGTCATTCTTAACGACATGTCCAAGGTAAGCGAGCCCAAGTTTCTCTGTCCTGGCTTCTAACGAGCATTCTTGTTTTATTTCTTCTAAGACTGATTTGTTCCTCCTTCTGGCAATCCACGGTATATTCAATATCCTTCACCAACACAATTTGGATGCATCAAGTATTCTTGTCTTCCTGTTTCATGTCTATCTTTCACATGCATAAGAAGTGACTGAAAATACCATGGATATATTGGGTTAAATAAGGTATATCACTAAAAGTAATTAACCTTTTTTTTTTTTTTTTAACTTTTATTTTTTTAAATGTGGCTACTAAGAGATTTAAAGTTCCGTATGTGACCTGGGTTATATTTCTACTGGGCAGCGGCTTGGCTGCACTATTTCCACCTAGCTGGCAAACTTTTCATTCCACAACTTCGCCTGCGAACAGCCGCGGATCAGGTCTGGCCTCTCCGGTTTCCACACGAACACCTCCAGCCAGCCTGGCAATGCTCAGGCGGTCCCACCCGGTGGCTACAGAAAAGCCCCAGGAATGGCGAGAGCCACTCACCGGCTCCGGGGGATAGTGCGGAGCCCCGGAGCCCCTCGGTCGTCACACCAGACCCACCCCTCGCGTTGCCAGGGCCGCAGCTGCCCCGCCCACCTCTGCCTTTACCGCACAGCCACCGCCCTAATTACGTCACGCCGCACTGCACAGCCACGAAGGAACCCTGCGACGCAGCGCCCGCAATCACTACCACCCATCGGGCTGGCTGGCCAGGCCCGGATTAGCTACAGCCGTCTCGATGGGGCGTGGCTGTGGATGGCGGGGCGGGACTTCCCGTCCAGGTGGCACTGACTTCCGGTGTGTGCCGGAAGTTCCCTCAGAGAGATTTAGGAGTCTGCGCGTATGCTGAGTCTGCGGGGCTGCTGAGGAGCGTTAAGGTCTCGTGAGGGTTTTGTGGGGGTCAAGGCTTTGGTCACTAGGTTCCTAGCTAGGTCGCGGCTTATTTCCCGCCTAGCGATGGCAATGTACACGTGCATCACGTGCCGGGTGGCGTTCCGCGACGCGGAGATGCAGCGAGCCCACTACAAGACGGATTGGCATCGCTACAACCTGCGACGGAAAGTGGCGGACATGGCCCCGGTCACCGCCGAGGGCTTCCAGGAGCGGGTGCGGGCGCAGAGGGCCATGGCGGAGCAGGAGAGCAAGGGCACGGCCACTTACTGCACCGTCTGCAGCAAGAAGTTCGCCTCCTTCAACGCCTGCGAGAACCACCTCAAGTCCCGGCGGCACGTGGAGCTGGAGAAGAAGGCGGTGCAGGCGGTGAGTCGGAGGGTGGAGATGATGAACGAGAAGAACCTGGAGAAGGGGCTGGGCGCCGACAGTGTGGACAAGGATGCCATGAACGCGGCCATCCAGCAGGCCATCAAGGCGCAGCCATCCATGTCGCCCAAGAAGGCCCCCTCGGCGCCGAGGGACGAGTCCAGGGGTCCCGTGGCGCTGGCAGACGGTGGCCGTGTGACTCACGACCGAGAGCCGGCGGAGAAGCCGCCCCGGCTCCAGTGGTTTGAACAGCAGGCGAAGAAGTTGTTAAAGCAGCAGGGGGAGGAGAGCGAGGAGGAGGAGGAGGACCTGGACGGAGATGGTAATGGGCCTGTCGGAAAGGGGGAAATGGGGATTGACACTCGAGGTGGCGGTCAGCTTTTGAGTGGAACTAAAGAGTGAGGGTGGCTTAGATGCTTGCTAAGATGCCTTATTTGGCCAGCATCCACAACGGGAATTGTGTTTGTTTAATATACTATTGTATATTCAAGGCCTGAAACATTACCTGGGAAAACGGAGTAGGCGCTTAATAAATATTTGTAGAATGAATTGGAAGACTGAATGGCGCAACTAACTAAAGGTTGGTGAACCCACCCAGAGGTGCCTAGGAAGAAAGGCCTGGTGATCTGCTTCCAAAGAATCAGCCATTGAAAACCCTATGGAGCACAGCTCTATTCTGACACTCATGGGGTCGTCATGAGTTGGAGTCGACTCCACTGGCAGCTGGTTTGGTTTTTTGATTTATAGGAGGACATGCTGATGTCACACCATCTGATGTAGAATTTCTGATTCTAGTGGCTTTCCAGGTATGATGGGTTTGCCCTTAATTTTATCAAAACAATAAAATGAGGGTTCACAGTCACCTGTCTAACCTGAAATGTGTGATTTGAGCCAGCAACCCCACCTCCTTGACTTTATGGACTTTATTTCATTCCTTGAGGGAACCCTGGCAGTGCAGTGGTTAAGCACTCTGCTGCTAACCGGAAGGTCAGTGGTTCGAACCCAGCAGCCACTCTGTGAGAGAAAGATGCTGCAGTCTGCTTCCATAAAGATTTACAGCCTTGGAAACCTTACGGGGCAGTTCTACTCTGTCCTACAGAGTCACTGTGAGTCAGAATCAACTCGACGGTAGTGGGTTTGGTTTTTAGTTTGATTTCATTCTTTCCTCTCACATCCTGTTAACACTGATGTTGTATGTATTCGTATAGCACTACTCCCCCCCCACACACACACGCCACAGCATTCTTGTGAAATAGTAGATACAAGCATGATTCTAACAGTTTTTAAAATGCCGTCATTCAGTCAGGTATGAGGCCGCTTAACCATGTGCTCAGCTCTGGGTTAGGTACCATGAGACATAGGAAAGAAGTAACAGACTTTCCTTCAGGAGGTTACCATGTATGGGAAGGAATCTCGTAGCCATACATACTGGTCTGTGGGAAATGAATAGCTGAAATTCAGATCTTAAAAAAGGATTTGTCCTTGATGGACGTAATTGGCATCTGTTTCCCTGAATGTAGGAACTGTTCCACCTTGTGTTTGTGAATCTTTGTGATATGTTTGATTGTGGTTACCACTTTTCTTAAACTGACTTTGTTTTTCAAAACTCTAACTTGAAGATTGGGAAGATCTGGATTCCGATGAAGAATTGGAATGTGAGGATGCTGGGGAGATGGAAGAAGGTGCAGAGGAGCAGGATGCCGAGGAGGACGGGGCTGGGGAACGCCCACCCCTTGGTGCCATCCCTGTAACAGAGTGCTTATTTTGTTCCCATCATTCAAGCTCCCTGATGAAGAATGTGGCTCATATGACTAAAGTCCACAGCTTTTTTATTCCTGATATAGAATATCTTTCTGATCTTAAGGGACTGATTAGATATTTGGGTAAGTACAACAGTTTTCTTTTTAACAGGGAGAAACCACATTATTGAGGGGTAGATCTAAGGGAATGACGTAGTTCTCCTTCTCTGCATTAGTTCTGTGTTTCACATCAAACCTTTGATTGAAATACCTGCTTATTTTGTGGAAATCAAAATTTCAATGAATGTTTTTGTACTGTGGAGATAAACAATGAGTCTTAATCTGCCTTCTAAAAGCTTCTTTCATATTTTTTCCTTATTATTTTTCCAGGGGAGAAAGTTGGCGTTGGGAAGATTTGCTTGTGGTGCAATGAGAAAGGGAAATCGTTCTACTCCACAGAAGCTGTACAGGCACACATGACTGACAAGAGCCATTGTAAGCTCTTCACAGATGGCGATGCTGCTTTGGAATTTGCAGACTTCTATGATTTTAGGTATGTCTGTGGTTTGCAGTGTGAAGTGAAGTGAGGTGGTCGTATTTACATTGGAGTGATATTAGTAATGTGCTGCTATGTGTCTGGCACTGGACCAGGTATTCTTAATAACCCTTACAACACCTTTCTGAGAGGTGGTTATTTCTCTGGGCTCCTGGCCAGTTTTGTGGATGAGAAACTGACTTTAACACATCTGGTAGAGAATGAACTCAAGCTCAAATTTATGTTTGCCTGACTCCAAAACTTCTTTTTGATTTGTGTTGTTAAAAGCTCAGAAGCTGTTTTGCTCGTTACCTTTTGAAGGTAATCTCTGAACCAAACCGAGAAAACCAAACCCGTTCCTGTGGAGTCGATTCTGTCTCATAGCCACCTTTTGATCTCAATTGTGATCAGAGGGCTTAAAGCAGATACCAGGGATTGAGTCCAGGGGCTGCAAGCGGCAGCTGTCTTGGAGTGCCGCAGCACTCACTCTTTACCCTGTCTCTTCAGTCTCCCTTTGCGATTTTATGCGGTATTCTAGCCAGTCTCATAGGTTCAGTACCTCCAATATGCTAATGACTCCCACATTTCTGTCTCCAGTATAGCCTTCTCCTCAGCTCCAGACTTACATATCCATCTGCCTACTTGACAGTTCTACTTGAGCGTCCAAAGGTGTGCAAACTGAACATCTTGAAAATCTAACTCCTGGTAATCCCCTAACCTGCTCCTAAGTAGATGAGAACTCTGTCCTTCTAGTTACTTAAACCAGAAACCTTGGAGCCATCCTTTACTCTTCGGTTTCCTTTCATGCATACATTCATTCCCTTACCAAATCCTGTTGTATCTACCTTCAGGTATCTCCAGAATCTAACCACTTCTCAGGGCTTCCACTGCTACTGCCACCTGAATTGTTGGAGTAGCCTCCCACCTGCCTGGTTTCCCTACTTTCATTCTAACCCCCCTACATTCTGCACTGAACACTCTAGCCAGAGGGATCCTTTTAAACAAAAGTCAGATCAAATTCCACTCCCTTGGCTTCCCATCTTACTCAGCATAAAAGCCAGAGTCCTTATAATCGCCTACAAGGCCCTACATGATATGGCCTAGCTGTCTTTCTGGCATTTTCTACTATTTCTTACTAATTGCCCCAGGAAGGACCCTGGATTCCTAGCTATTCCTCTCATGTATCAAATGTGTTTTTCAGGACATTTGTCTATATACTCTTCCCTCAGATTGTCACATGTCTCAGCCCCTCACTTCTTTCAGGGCTTGGCATAAATTTTACTTCAGTGTGTTCTTTCTTGATAACCTTACGTAAAATACACTCACCCAGTCCTTTTTGGAGCCCTGGTGGCGAAGTGGCTAAGAGTTCAGCTGCTTACCAAAAGGTCGGCAGTTCAAATCCACCAGCTGCTCCTTGGAAATCATATGAGGCCGTTCTGCTGTGTCCTGTGGGGTTGATATGAGACAGAATTGACTCAACGGCAATGAATTTGGTTTTTTTAGTCCTTTTTACCTTGCTTCATTTTTCTTCATAGCCCTTACTACCATTTGACATATATATTATTTGCTCATTATCTCTCATCTCCTACTAGGATCTGAGCGTCAGAAGGGCAGTACCTCTTGTTTACTGAGTGTTGCTCAAACTGTTGATTTGAATTAAAATATATAACTAATGTAGATGGTTCAGAAGTGAATTTCCCTAAGTTTAAACGATGTTTTTTTGGACTCTGTAGACTTTTATTCTACTTGTGCCTAGAAGTGTAAAGTGTGAACCATGAATGTTAAATTATTTTCCCCTTAAAAAAAATTAAATAATGTTCAATAAAGAAAAGTTGGAAAATAGAAAGCTCTCACCTGCAGAGCCATCATTTATTGCGTGCTTACTCTACCCACCACACACAGTTCTGAGCACTTGTATGTAGATTACCTCAGTTAAAAATGACGAATTGCCTGTAATTCCACCCCTCCCTAGATAACTATTGCTAACTTCTTATTCTGGACTTCAGATATTTTATTGCAGAATAATAAACTTATAGAAAAGTGCATATGTGAACGCTTACTATAATTCAGTTCAATGAAATTTGAAACTGAGCTCCCTCACATAACCAGCACCTAGATCAAGAACGACATCACCAGTACCCTGGTGTTTCCCTGCCCTTCCTCCCAGATGCTACCACTCCTATCTCCAGGGTTAACCACTATTCTGACTTCTAACTGCATAGATTAGTTTTGCTTGTTTTTGTACTTTTTATAAATGGAATCACAAAGAATATACCGTTTGGGGTCTGGCTTTTACGCAACTTTACGTTTGTGACTTTTCATGCATATAATCAGTATGTAGTTGTAGATCAAGGAGCCCTGGTGGTGCAGTGGTTAAGCACTTGGCTGCTAACTGAAAGGTTGAAGGCTTGAACCCACCAGCGGTTCTGCAGGAAAAAAGACCTGGCAATCTGTTCCTGTAAAGATTACAGCCTAGGAAGTTCTATGAGGCAGTTCTGCTCTGGCATATAGGGTCATTTTGAGTCAGACTTCACTCAGTGGCATGCAGCAGTTTGAGATCATTCATTCTCATTATTCTAGAGTATTCTGTTGTGTGAACCACAATATTTAGTCTACTGATGATGCACATTTGATTGGTTTCCATTTTGAGGCTGTTATGGATAATGCTACTAGATAATTCTTTCTCATTGTCACCAAGTCGATTCTGACCCATAGTGACCGTATGGGACCTTTTAGAGTAGAACTGCCCCATAGGGTTTCCAGGGAGTGGTTGGTGGATTCAGACTGCTGACCTTTTGGTTAGTAGCGAGCTCTTAACCACTGCGCCATCAGGGCTCCAGGTAATTCTAGTATGTATCTTGAGGTAAACACATATACACATACGTACTGTGTATATACCTGGGAATGGAACTTTATCAAGACAGAGGATATGTATATGTCCAGTTTTAGAAGATATCATCAAATCATTTTCCAAAGTGGTTCTCCACACTTGTAGAGGGAAAGTTCTGACTCTCTAAGACTTTTTTTCATTTTATCGGGTATGTAGTGGTAGCCCATTGTGGTTTTAATTTGCATGTCCCTGATGATGAGTTTGGAACCCTTTTATGTATAAATTGGCCATTTGGTTATCTTTTGTGAACTATCTGATCAAATCTTTCATTCATTTTTCTATTGGGTTGCCTCTCTTACTGTTAACATTTTAATGTGCAATTTTCCAGTTATTTTCTACGTGTATATGTGAATATATGAATTTGTGAACAATTCTAGGAACACAGAGATTCTTTGAGAACTGTACCATCCAGTATGGCACTCATTAGGTGTAACCATGTGGTTATTTAAATTAAAAGTTTACTTCATCAGTTGGATTTCAAATGTTCAGTAGCCACATGTGCCTAGTAGCTGCCGTGTTGGGCAGCACAGACAGAGCATTTCCGTCATCACAGAAAGTTCTCTTGGACAGTCCGGTGCTGTTCTGGAACTTGTTTTATAATGGTTATCCGCTGCTCTGTGTTCTCCTCCTCGTCCTCTCTAAGTTTGGCTGCCTTCCTGGGGTGAATGAATGCAGTTGTACATCATTTGCTCACTTTCACTACAGAGAAAATGCTAACAAGTTGTTTCCCCCCAAAGTTCTTTCAGCTGGCAGTCCCCTTTTAGGTAGCTCAGAGTTTGCCACATTTGCAAATACATTTTATGTCTTTTAATTACATTTGAGGTACTAGTCTGTTTTTGCCATTTCACTGTTACAGGAGCAGCTATCCAGATCACAAGGAAGGGGAGGATGCTGGTGAGGCTGAGGCTTTTCCTTCAGATAAGAACGTGGAATATGACGATGACACCATGGAGCTGATTCTGCCTTCTGGTGAGTGCATTTGTCAGAAATAAATAATAACTTACTGCCAGGTGGAATTGTTGGAGAGACATATTCCACCGTCAGTTACCTTCCATGCTGAGAGCAATAGGACCTCACGCTTGAAGTGTATGTGGTCAACGCGGAAGGCTGCCTCTCGTTGTTGTTAGTTGGCATTGAGCCAATTCTGCCATAGCGGCTTTGTTTAAATTCGGTCATTGTTTTTGCTGTCACTTCTGTTATGATTCAGCATGTTTTCATCTCACTTTATTTTCTTTATTTTTCTAAATACGTGGACCTTTTCTAATGTGTTTCCATTTTCTGGTCCCATCTAAGTTTTGTGTGTTAATCTTGTCTTTATTCTTTGAACTGATTCCCTTTGCTTCTTTTTTTTTTTCTTGCTTATATACTTTAAGTATCTGGTATTTTTGCTGTTTTTTGTATGATTTATCTATTCAGATGGACTTGGCTCTAGCTGGTGTGGTATCGGCCTTTGTCAGTCTTTGGTTGAGAGCATTAGAAAGAGAGTAACATCCTTCTCCTTAGTTGGCTTGTTTTCCTTTGATCGCTAACTCCACTGTATGTTATCCTTGTGCAGAGTGCCTCTCAGGAAGGACCTAGGCTTGACTCACATTGGCTGCATAAGCACATATAGAAATCATATGGTGCTTGCACTTGGTTGGTTGAAAATGCAGCTGAGACTTCAAAGCATCAGAAATAAAAACATACAACGTACTGTTACCTTTTTTCCCCTGAAGTTTCATGCACTTTGGAAGGTTATTCTAATAATAATCCTTTAATCTTCACAAAAAAACCTGAAAAATACAATATTATTCTTACTGATTTTAGTGTAAGTTAAAATGCTAAGTATCTTTGTAAAGGTCTGATCTAACATGGATGTTATGTCCTGTTGTTGTTAGTTGCTGTTGAGTCGGTTCTGACTCGTGGTCCTGTGTCTGCAGAGGAGAACTGCTCCATAAGGTTTTCAAGACTGTGACCTTTTGGAAGCAGATCGCCAGGCCTGTCTTCTGAGGTGACTCTCAGTGGGTTCAGGCTGCCGACCTTTCAGCCAGTAGTCTAGCGCTTAACTGTTTGTGTGCCACCCAGTGAATTTTCAGTTCACATCATGTAGAAATGTGATTACTTCACAAAGGAGTAAAATCAAAATATAATCTGATGTTTTTGGTTAGTGTGGTGATGAATATGAGATGTCTTTTTTCATTTGTAGGATTCATTTTTTAATTTTTTGGAAAAGGAAATCACCTACATTTCTAATCCTGTAATATTTGGAAAATACAAAAAAGTACAAGAAAGAGTAAAAGTCACTGTACTGCTAGCATGTTCTTGGTTTTGATGGTTATAAAACAAAAAGCAAGAGCCCCTTTCTTCTACTCCTGTGCCCGGTGGTTACCATAATTGGGCACTTGGGGCTCATCTTTCCAGGTGAGCGTGTGTACGTACACATATACCAACATATTCAGGGTTGGTTTTGGCTTTAAAATAGAAATGAGAGCTTATTCTAAGGATTGTTCTGCAACTTGCCTTTTTTACTTACTGTGTCATATGTAACTATTCAAGTCGGTACATATAGGCCTATTTCATTTTTTTAAGAGCTATGTAATGTTTTTACTGTATGGATATATGGTTTAACAGTTTAGTCATAGAATTTAAAGCTGTAATAAGGATGAGATTTTAAATCTTCACCTTAAAAGCACAATAATCTGGTTTCCTATGTAGCGAAATGAATCTTTTACGTTTTTTTCTAACTCTTTTGATACAAATTTCTTAGTTTTCCTGTTGGTACCACATGTAGAGATAAAAATGCTGCTTTATAATGGTCTCACTAGACCAACTTGTAGATATCTTTCTTAAATATGTGTTTCAATAAGAACATATTTTCCTGAAAAGAAGAGTTAGAATCTTATATTGCATTTTCTCACCTTAAAGTTTTCAGGTCTAGTAAAATCCCACTTATCTGGAGGCTGGTCTGCCAGAATCCTTAGGATTTCACAGAGGTGCTGCACTCAGATGTATCCAGAAAAACATACATCTGTGGTAGGTAAAACATCATTTCTTAGCAGACAACAAGTACACACGATTGAAAAGACCCAAAGATTGGTTCATTTACATATTGGTCTTACTTGCACATGACAGAATCCATCTCTTAAGCAGAAAAGAGTTTTATTCCAGGTTGTTGGGTTGCCCACAGAATCTTTTCAAGAGCTAGGGAAACAGATTCAAGGCTGAGCTTTTAGAATTAATGCCCAGAACCAGAGCTCAGAACGCTCCTGTCAGGGAAACCATTGCTCCCGTTGTCACCATGCTGCGAGTGCCAGGAACTTGATTCTGGGGGAGCTGGTACTGCGGTAGCAGGGAGTCCTGAACTTGACCTGCAGCCACTGCTGCCTGAGAAGACTTCTGGAGCCACTGTTGCTCATCAAAGGGATGCTTCCTACCAGGCTGCGTCCTCTGTCACTGGGAGCTCCCAGTGGTAGTCTGGTTTGGCTGTATCTGATTGACAGTGCCTGGGTCACCTGCCTGCGTTCTAGCTGTAGGGGGAGGCTTGGAGTTTGAATTCTGCCTTCTGCTTTGGGGAGCAGGACTCATAGTAGTAATGTGAAAAGATGAAGATAAGCCACGAATATGAGAAGTCTCTACCGTTGTTTGTTGTGTGGGAAGAAAAAAGTGTTGTGATTAGCTGGTAAGACTGGGAGAAGATACAGAAGACATAATTCCAAAGTAAGAGAGTGGGATGGCAGAGATGACAGTAATGATCTCAGTAATACCAGCTATTTACTGAGCAGGTAGTACGCACACTTAGCACATTCAGGCACATACATTATCTGTACCACAAGCCTATAAGGTGGATTTTCTTATCGTCATTTGACATAGGAGATAACTGAAGCTTAGGTGGATTAACACGGCCAGAAGTGGGCCTTTTTTTACCACTTCAGTGCCTGACTCTGGGGATTTGCAGTAACGGTGGGGCAGGAGCCAGTTAAGAAGTCTGCCATGAAGAGGCAACCCTGTAGTATTGCTTTACACATAGAGCAATACTGTGTAACTATAGACAGCGATCTGTAACAGAATGATAACCTTTTAAGGCTAAGGGGTGCTTTGTAGTATGACATTAAAAGGAAGGGGCAGGCAGAACCAGTTTTGAAGATACGATTCTCCTTACCTTAATCAGAAAGTTATAATGCAGTAGAATATCATGGCTTGTACAGTACACAGGAGCAAAGCAAGCCTAAATATATTACAAGGAGTCTCTTCTATTGATTCTTGTTTTCACTCTGATGAAAGTACCAAACATAACATCATAAATATGTTCAATACTTCTTTACCAGGACGACTGCTATCTTAAGCATTTGTTTGGCCCCTTGTCCCATTAGCTTGTCCTTCCTTAATTATAAATAGGACAGCAACAGAACTTACCCAGGGACTCTTAAGATGGTTGAATAAGAAAATCCCCCTAAAGCGGCGTTGGCATCTAGTTATGCTACCAGTTGCTGTTGAGTTGATTCTGACTCATGGCGGCCCCATGTGTGTCAAAGTAGAACTGTGATCCATAGGGTTTTCAGTGGCTGATTTTTCAGAATTACATCACTGGGCTTTTCTTCCAAGGCCCGTCCGGGTGGACTGGAACCTCCAACCTTTTCGTTAGCAGTTGAACACCTTTGCTGTGTTCAAGGGACTCTGTATCCATGCCATATCCATACTAGCTTGCTATAAATGTTGGCTTCATTTTGTATCTCCTTTAGCACATCGTATTTCAAAATGTTCATAACAATGAGCATATTCTATTTAAGAAATATATCTGAGAGAAATTTTCACCTGGACTGTAAATTTTTGAAACTAAATGAATCCTCAGTTAGAAAACATGTCTTCCTAGGGTGATTAAGTTCTTTTTTTTTTTTTTTTTTTTTT